GTATGGCTACACTTGGCGTGTTGTCAGATGACATCATCGTCGGCTGACATAATCAGATCGCCGACATATGTCTTTGTTTTGCGGTGATTGGAGGCACGTTTCCGCCCCGGTCGTTAGGTTCGTCAGATCTGCCTCACAGATGTTTGAGATATCAGCTGTGTTTACGACGAGTAACGACAAACAAATGAAAAATAAAGGCCACGCCTCCTGTTGATCTCTTAAAAAAAAACTAATTTCCACCAGGGGGCCACATCAGCAATACCGTTCCCCTTAAAGAGCTGGTTGTAAATCGGAAGATTGTATAGATCGGGGGGCTCCCCAACCTCCGGTCCGCGGACAAGTACCGGTCCATAGGAATTTTTTTTTTACCGGGCCGCAGTGAGACACAATAATTTTTACGAATTTACTTTACTTTACATTCTAAGAAAATCCACCATCCATTTACTTTCTTTATTTAAAGATATTTTGGCGATATTTTAAGCTCCCGCGTGCCACAAAAAATGCCCCGGCCTTGAGTTTGACACATACGCCATATATAATCAGAATTACATTAAAGCATTAAACTGTACGAAATACCCTTTAAAATAATATTAATAATATATATAATTATATTAGAGTGGAAGGGTTCAAAAACTGTGGCTCGAGACGATATGGTAAGCCCCGCCCCCTCTGCCGCCTTTTACACCAGTAACCCTGCTCAACACGACAACAAGCGAAGATCACGCTCCTTCTGACCGTGCTGGGGAAGCTAATTTGGGTATCATTAGCGTGCTACAGTTAGCCATCTCCGTCTTATCGTGTTTTTCTTAATTTACAACTTTGTGAGCGTGCTCAATGGGTTATTTTCCAGTTTTCTGAATTTCCACTACAAATACTTCCTGTTTTAGTATGTGAGAGCATGGTTGCCCAAAGACTGGGTCGCGACCCTTGGGTGGGTCGCAGAAGTTTTTGGGGTTTTTTGGGGATCGTCTCGCATCATGTTTCCCAGGAGTTTACGAATAATTTCTATTGACGTGGGTCAGAAAAAAAGTTTGGGAAACACTGTGTTAGCGCATTGTGGACACAGCGCCACATACAGGCCTGGCATATGTACTACCGGGTTTAAATGCTGACTTTTCTTACACTTACTTAAACACGCTATCGTATTGTATCGCAAGCGTGTAAAGAAAGTAAATTGTTGAACTTGAGACACCAACCCCGGTGGTTCTCAGCAGAACTGCGCACTGACAGGTTCTGTCTTCTTCCTCAGGTGTCGTACGTCATCACCGTGGACAGAAGCGATCGCACGGTTCATCTGGAGAGAAATGAGTAAGTGTTTCAAACCCGTGGTCCACTTTTTCCGCAGGTTTTACCTTGCCCTAGCCTCGGATTTCTGCTTGACTTTGGCGCCCCCTCTGATCTCAAGAATGAAAAAATGACTATTGTAATGATTATTGTAAGCTAACATAGCTAATATATTAGCCTGATCTTGAATGTAATGGTATTTTACTGCCAAATTATTTCAGTAACAACAGGTTTTTTTTCTCATAGCCAAGCTCTGGCCCGTGGGCTCGATATGGCCCGCTGGGCTTGCTAATCCGCCCCGCCAAACAATGTATGGTACGGTTAATGTACGGGTACAGTTAAGACTGACGTCAAGCCTTCCGTTTCACGCCTTACAACAAATCAACTGTAATATCAGTTGTTGCCAATAGGTGGCGGTAGACGTCAAATTTGGCAATTTTTTTTTTTGGGCGGGGTTTAAGTTTAATCTTGTTTATTTTATTCGTATGATTACTAAACCGACCCATTTTGGCTACGAAAAAATTTGACCGACCTAGCTGGTTGCTCGTTAATGAAACCAGATGGTCAGTAGATGCGGAAGGACAATTTCAAAACGGAACTTCCTTAGACGAAGGGGGAAAGGAAGGGTGTCGAAGGGAGACGGCGCGCTGGTGTCACGCTACCTCGCGGTATCTGCGGTTGTTTCAGTGTTTTGGCCTCCGAGCGGAGCTGCGCTCAACGCCGCAATAAAGTTGTCACAATAAGGAGGTCCCTGACGGACGGCAATCTTCAGAGCTTATCCGCTCCCGCTGGCGTTATCGAAAAACCTTGAAGAGTGGAACAACAAAAACCACAGGAGATAGACGCAAAGAAAACACCCCCTGCCCCCGACTACCCCCCCGCCTCCCCACACACACACACAGAAGAGAGCTGAACGTCACTTCCTGTCCTGTATTTCCATGGATGTAAATACCCGGTTTTTTTTACCTTGAGTTGAGGATATTCCAAGTCGGTTATTAAAGTGCTGAGGTGCGCCCTCTGCTGGGTTTGAGGGGTCATTTCAGGGTCGGGCAAATGTTAATTTTTGGTAATTTTACCAGTTGGATGACCTTTTGGGGGTTGGGGGCCGTCACGGGGGACACATGGAAAGACGATCAAAATCTAAATTCACACTAACGTTCACACCTAGCATTTAGCGTGAATAAGATCTCGACTTGTTCTTGGTGGTTTTCCAGACTGCTGCTCCCTGCCGACTTCACCGTGTTCTCCTACAGTCGGAACGGAACGCTAATCACAACCAGACCGCCTGTACAGGTAACACACACACACACACATGCTGGTACAGCAGCCCCTCGGGGGCTTTCAGAGAAAACGTGCGTCCCCGACAGGGTCCTCGACCCCCGGTGTGAGGAACGTGTGAAGGTCGGGCAGATGGACTTCCAGCTCCGTGCTGTGAAGCAGATGGAACAGGCAGCGTGAGCTTGTTTGAACAGACTCTCACCTGGACGGAAGGTTACGGCGTCGTACAGGAGTGTGTTCAAATATCGCCTAATTGGTCCCAAAACTATTATTTTATTATTGCAACATATTTTTTTTCCGTTCGTCAATGGCAGACAGCGACAGACAGAGCAGTTAAATCCTCGTCCACTAGGTGGCAGCAACTAAGAAATGATAATCAGAGCTGTCAGAGGGGGTCTTTGCGAGTGTCTTTTTTTCTTCAAATCCTGCCGCCATATGAGCGTTGTTTTCAACTAAACGGGAGTCAAAATTTTGGTCAATTTAATTGATTTAAAATTTTAAAGAAATTAAATTTATATGTAAAAATTAGGATTTGGAACGCTAACCTTTGCCTTTGCATCGCAGAACCACTGTCAGTACAGAGGCGTCGTTCAGGGTGAGGAGGGATCATCGGTCGCCATGGATATCTGCAGTGGCCTCAGGTACACACACACACACACGTACACACACACTAACACACACTAATACACACACAAATACACACCAAACTCCGTGTCTCTTCCACCAGAGGAGTGCTCCATCTGTCCGACGACAGCTACGGCATCGAACCCCTGGACTCCGACCCGGAGCGACACCTGGTGTACCGCCTGCGGGACGTGAAGTCACAGCCCAGAGGGTGCGGCACGCCGCATGACAACCGCACTGCCGCGGAGCGCGGAGCGGAGGAGATCCACCACGGTCAGCACAGGAGGGTATGTACACACACACACACACACACACACACACACACGTTCTTGTTTACAGTAAACAAACAAGTCGCCTGTCTTGTAGATGAAGCGAGCCATTCTCCATCAGGCCCACTATGTGGAGCTGTTGCTGGTGGTTGACAACAACAAGGTAAGAAAACAAGTGGTTCTCAAACTGTGGTACGCGTTACTCTAGAGCGCACCCTAGTGGTACGCGGGGGAAATTCATATTTTTACATTTGCATTTTCAATTGAATCAATCTGAGAAATTTGAAACTACAATATCAGGTTGCACTTGCAATACCTCATGTGACCACTAGTGGGCCGTGCACCAGCTGTTGTAACACATTTAAATTTTTTTTTTTTGTTGCAGAAAACATTGAAATTAACAATCGTCTGACCCTGAAATTGTCTCTCATCCAGCAGGGGGCGCACCCCAGCACTTCAATAACCATGTTTTGTTTTCCAGTTTAATGCCATGAAAAGAAACGAAACTGCAGTGAGAGAGGAGATGGTTCAACTGGCCAACCTGGTGGACAGTGTGAGTACAGACACACGCACGCAAGTGTCGCAAGTTTCTTCTCCGTCGCTGTTGATTGGCTGACAGTCCGTCCGGTCTCTTGTTCCAGATCTACGTGCAGCTCAACATCCGGGTGGTGCTGGTTGGCCTGGAGATCTGGTCTCAGCAGAACCCCATCAGCATCGAGGGCGGAGCCGGAGACGTTCTGACCAGATTCACGCAGTGGCGAGAGAAGGAGCTGGTCCCTCGACGGCGTCACGACTCGGCACAACTGATCCTGTGAGTAAAACAAACGCACCTTTTACTTTTTTTTTTTTTTTATACAAGGTCTAGAATTGTCCCCGTCCCTTTAAGGGGGCAAAAAAAAAACCCGACCCCTTGACAAGTGTTGTCGCCCCCTGCAGGAGACAGGGGTTTGGAGGGACGGCAGGGATGGCCTTCGTCTCCACCATCTGCTCCAGGAGTCACGGCGGAGGAATCAACGCGGTATGTTCGATCCCAACATCCTGCTGCTGGGATCGAACGGAAAGTCGCTAACTCTCTCTCTCTTTCTGTCGTAGTTTACGAACAACAACCTCCCCTCGTTTGCCTCCATTTTGGCCCACGAATTGGGCCACAACCTCGGTATGAACCACGACGACGGGCGCTCCTGCAGCTGTCCGGTGAACGCCTGCATCATGAACTCTGGAGCCACGTAAGACACACACACACATTCACACACACACACACACAGTGACACACACAGCTCATTAAAACAGTTCCTCCCCCTCCTCCTCCCTCTTCCTCCCCATCTCCCCCCCTTGTCTCTCCGTCTGCAGAGGCTCCAAAAACTTCAGCAGCTGCAGCGCCGACGACTTCGAGAAGATGATCATAATGACGGGAGGATCCTGTCTCCTCAACGTCCCGCATCCTGACGAGGCCTACAGCGCCCCCTACTGTGGAAATGGGCTGGTGGACGTAGGAGAGGAGTGTGACTGTGGATCACAGAAGGTGTTTTTTTTTTTTTTTTTTTACAATATGCTATCTTTTTTTTTTTTTTACAAACTTGTTATCACTTCATTTTTAAATTTTAAATATGTATGTATATATATGTATGTATGTATATATGTATATGTATATATATATGTATAGATGTATATATATTGTATATATATTATATAATTTATTTTATTTATTAATTACGTGTGTGTGTGTGTGTGTGTGTGTGTATTCAGGAGTGTGAGAAAGACCCTTGCTGTGAGTACCAGACCTGCAGACTGACGTCTGGATCTCAGTGTGCTTTTGGAGAATGTTGTCACAAATGTCAGGTAAAAAACAAATTATCTTGAATCTTTATGGAATGAGTTATTATTAATTAAGGATCCTTAATGAAACCTTACGTTCACTGTTGATGTGAACGGAGTGAGCTTGTCAGTGAGGTGAAAGTTGAAGGTTTGATTCTGGAGACTATTCCTCTCCCCCCTGTGGTACGAACATCTGTGAGAAATGAAACCTACAGAAATATATCACTCTGAAGGATCAGGAACGTGATTGGACCAGATGGTGCCTTCACATCTCCACTGAGTCTTGTTTCTGTTTTCATAAGAAAACTGTGTTGTGTTGTTGTGTAGTTCCTTCCTGGTGGAACCGTGTGTCGCTCTGCACCGGACGAGTGTGATCTGCCGGAGTACTGCAACGGATCGTCCCCCCTCTGCCAGAGTGACGTCTTTGTCCAGGTGACGCCTGAAGCTCTCTACCTGCACATTATGAATTATGAATTCAATATATATGTATGTATGTATATATGTATGTATATACAGTATATGTATATATGTATGTACAGTATATATGTATATATGTTTGTATATACATATATATGAGATATATATATATATACATACATACAGTATATATACATACATACAGTATATATACATACATACAGTATATATACATACATATGGGATATATATATATATACATACATACAGTATATATACATACATATACATACATACAGTATATATACATACATATGGGATATATATATATATATACATACATACATACATACATATACACATACAGTATATACATATATATATACACATATCAATGTGTTTGTATATATGTGTACATGTATGTGTACTAAAATATAAGAAGCATTTTTATTTCAGTGAAATGTGGTCACTTCTGTCCCTCACCTTAACTCCAAATGTGTGTTTGCGCTTTAGAACGGCGCCCCCTGCAGTAACCAGCGGGCCTACTGCTACAATGGGAAGTGTCAACACTACGACGGACAGTGTCAGGCCATCTTTGGACCCAGTACGTAACCCAGACTTTCACATTGATGATGATGTGTGAATACACAGACATACACACACCGAGTCGAGAGTTTTTCCACGTACTCTTCCTCTCCTCCTCCTCCTCTTCCTCAGAGGCGAAGGCTGCTCCTGACATCTGTTTCAAAGACGTCAACAGCAAAGGCGATCGCTTCGGGAACTGTGGTCCTCAGAACTACGGCTTCAAGAAGTGCGAGAGCAGGTACGCGCACTCTAAACTTAGTCCCGCCCCCACCTCCACCTCCGATTGGAGGGACAACCGTGGAGAGGGAATTGACTCTTGTCCTTCCTCGTCCTCCTCCGTAGACATGCTCTGTGCGGAAAGCTGCAGTGCTCCAACGTTCAGACACCCGGCGACGACGTCAAGACCATCTTCGGCATCAAGCCGTCGTACATCATCACCGCCCCAGCCGGGGCCAAGTGTTACGGCGTGGACTTCCAGCTGGGATCAGATGTCCCCGATCCAGGCATGGTGAATGAGGGAACCAAGTGTGGGGACAACAAGGTGAGGACGTGAGGAGGTGGACAAGAACGTCCAGACACGAGAACGTGGAGGTGTTAAAGACCTTTTTTCATCTTTTTCCTCCTCTTCTTCTCCTTCCTCTCCTTCTTATTCTTCCTCTTGCTCTTCCTCTTCTTCTTCCTCTTCTTCTCCTTCTCTTCCTCTTCCTCTTTTTCTTCCTCTTCCTCTTTTTTCTCTTCCTCTCCTTCTTCTTCCTCTTCTACCTCTTCTTCTTCATCTTCTTCCTCCTCTTCTTCTTCCTCTTCTTCTTCTTCCTCTTCTTCTTCTTCTTCTTCTTCTTCCTCTTTTTGTTCTTCCTCTTTTTCTTCCTCTTCTTCTTCCTCTTTCTCTTTTTGTTCTTCTGCTTCTTCCTCCTCCTTTTTCTTCCTCTTCCTTTCCTCTTTTTTCTCTTCTTCTTCCTCTTCCTCTTTTTGTTCTTCCTCTTTTTCTTCCTCTTCTTCTTCCTCTTTTTTTTTTTCCTCTTTTTCTTCCTCTTCTTCTTCTTCTTCTTCCCCTTCTTCGTCTTCCTCTTCCTCCTCTTCTTCAGGTGTGTTTGAACTTTGAGTGCCGCAGCGCCGACGTCCTCAACTTCGACTGTGACGTGGACAACAAATGTCATGGACAAGGGGTGAGACACATTCGGCCCTGGACCTCATGGTCAGCTGTTCGACTCCATCACTCACTTTCTCTCTCTCTGACTGTCTTTCTCCCCCGTCACCACTAGGTGTGCAACAGCAACAAGAACTGTCACTGTAACTACGGCTGGGCTCCGCCCTTCTGTGAGCTCAGTGGATATGGAGGCAGCGTGGACAGTGGACCCACCTGGAATGGTACCCTGACCTTTGACCTAGGCATTTTTTACGTAGACATTACAGTATTAGTTCAGGTTCAAATCTAGAACGCCTGCCGCCGCGTCGACCCGGTGGACATGCTCGGTACTGCTCTTGAGTTTGACCGTGACCTCTGCGTGCCCTCAGATAAGGACACGTCCCTCAGAGACGGTCTCCTGGTCTTCTTCTTCGTCGTTCTCCCGCTGCTAGCTCTGGGCGTGTTTGTTTTCCTGCGCCGAAATGAGCTGATGAGGAGATTCGGACTGAGTCGCAGGAAGAGGTCGCAGGGATTCCAGTGAGTGTCTCACACACACACATTTTATTTATTTATTTATATTATTGTTATTATTATTTTGTTGTTTTGTCTTTGTGTTTATTTGCATTAAAATCAGTAGACGTCTAAAACGTCTTTATCATTGTGTTATGTCGCCCTCTGGTGCTTCGCTTTTAACATGCTTTCTCCGCACCTCCGTGTAGCGAAACATTTAAATTTATCTCAGAAATGTCATTATATTATGAACTAGCTTTTATTTCGAAATATAAGATTGTTAATGTCATAATTCTTTTTAAACAAGGGTCACACAAAAGGAACGCGACGGAAGAAGCGAGTTTAGGCCGGTTAGCCTGATGCTAACTTAGCATTCCAGCTAAAATACGTAATAGCGGCCATACGAAAGTTAAACCAAAGGACTAAAGGTAATATAGTAGCAATAATAACGATATTAAAAATAAGTATTATTATTATAAAATAACAATTGTAATAATTATTAATATTATATCTTGAAAAAAAGGGACAAAGCCGAAAGGAAAAGAAGAAGCTATCTCGCTATCATTATTAATACGTACGCAGATATACACAGTAGTATTTGTTCCGTGTGTTTTGTACAGTATTGTTGGTCAGAAACTTTTCTTTTACTCCAAAGTTTCTGTAAATCTTATCATGTTGCGACAACTTCTGTCACTGCTGAGTCTGGAACTTTTTTTTATTACATTCTGTCTTCAGAGCTGATGGAGTATCTTCAGCCAACTCCAACACCAGGGGGCCCCCTCCTCGGTCACAGCCTCCGCCTGTTCCCCGACCTGGCAACATCGTCAGAGATGGGGTAGGACATTATACCAGATGAACCAGTACGCTCGTCGAAGCTGCTAGTAATAATAAAAAAACAACAACAACTAACCTGTAGAGAAGTTAACAAACAGACGGGCTGGTTAGTTCTCCCTGGTCCAGTAGACGGGGTTCACAACATTGGTCTATGTCACGGACTGGGTTCATGTGAGTGATCGTAAAGGTGCAGCAAAAAAACAAAAAAAAGGTACTGAAAATTAAACTAGTACTTTTAATTAAGCTAGTACTGAAAATGCAACTAGTACTGAAAATTAAACTAGTACTGTTAATTAAGCTAGTACTGAAAATATAACTGCTACTGTCAATTTAACTAGTACTGTCAATAAAACTAGTACTGAAAATGAAACTAGTACTTTCAATTAAACCAGTACTGAAAATGAAACTAGTATTGTCAATTAAACTAGTATTGGAAATGTAACTAGTACTGTCAATTAAACTAGTACTGAAGATGCAACTAGTATTGCGAATACAACTAGTACTGTCAATTTAACTAGTACTGAAAATGCAACTAGTACTGAAAATTAAACTAGTACTGTTAATTAAGCTAGTACTGAAAATATAACTGCTACTGTCAATTTAACTAGTACTGTCAATTTAACTAGTACTGAAGATGCAACTAGTACTGTGAATACAACTAGTGCTGTCAATTAGACTAGTACTGTCAATTTAACTAGTACTGAAAATGCAACTAGTACTAAAAATGCAACTAGTACTGACAAACTAGAAACTGAAAATGTAACTCGTGCTGTCAATTAAACTAGTACTAAAAATACAACTAGTACTGAAAATTAAACTAGTACTAAAAATTAAACTAGTACTGTCAATTTAACTAGTACTGAAAATGCAACTAATACTGTCAATTTAACTAGTACTGTCAATTAAACTAGTACTGTAAGCTAAACTTACAGGCTGGTTTTCTGTCCTCTCTGTGGGATCATATAAAATGTTGCTGACCTTTTCTCTGTGACCCTGTACCATAAAACCTGAGACCCACTACCGGTCCAGGGGTTGGGAACCTCTAGATTAAAAAGCAGCTGTGTGTAATCATCAAACATTAACATATTAACATTCTCTGCTCTCTCTACCTTTGAAGCACAACGCTCAGCTGCTGCCGCCACACCAGGTAAAATACTTCTACTGCAGTACCCCCCCTAGTGGACAGAACTGCACCGTGACACAGAAAAATAATATTTAGGTTTGGCACATCAGTCCAACTGTGACGTTTGTTTGCTAATTTATCAATATGATGATTCCTGTTTTCTGACACCAGGTGGTGGAGACCAGCAGGACCGCTCCAACCTACGCACTCAGGCCGCCCCCGCCCCCTATGTGAGAAAGAAAAAATCACTCCGCACGACACTTCATTTTCAGAAATCTGCACTGACATAGATTTAAACCTCAACTCGGGTCATTTCGTTTATTGAAGAAAAATATCAAATTCCACTTCAAACCACTAGAGGGAGCTCACGCACCACCCGGGTTGCGCAAACCATAGTTACCATAAAGCACCAGGAATGCAACAGAGGAGCAAAATTATTTACTTAAATGTAGGAGTTTTTGTTTTAGTTTAGACTAGGTGTGTCAAACACTTGGCCCGGGGGCCACATCTGGCCCACGAACCCCTCAAATTTGGCCCATTACTAGATGTCAATTATAAAAAATGTCATGATTGATTTTTTTTAAGAATTTATTTTTATTTTGTTTCTTCTCAGAAAAGCAAAACCATCGCCTGCAGCTCAGCCTCTGATGCCACAAAGATCGGCCCCCGCCCCACCTGTTTAACCACCTGTTTAATCTTCGATGGTCCAGCGTGTTCTTCGACTTCTTTAAAGCTAGTTGATTTGGAAAAAAAAACAAAAACAAAACAATTCTGCAGTAGTGATGGCAGCTGGCCGGTCTCAGAGTTGGACCCAGAACTGGACTAGGATCTGGGCCGCGGCCCGGACCAGGACCAGGACCTGGAACAAACAGGAAGCAACAACTTCTTCTTCTTTTTCTGTCTGCTTCTGTCCATTTTTTCGAGAAACTCAAAATCCACGACGCATCACCTGTCACCAAACCGTCGTTGGTAACGTTAAAAAAAATCTGACACTTTCTATAACTTGGATCACGTGAGCTCTCAGCTGACCCCTACTGGTTCAGTCTGGTATTAGCGTGATATTATTATCACTAAATGCCGTCTTTTTTTCTTTTTCTTATTTTCTTGATTTTTTTTTTTTTAAAAAGCACTGATGCCATCAGATTGCAGCCCCGCCCCTCTGCTCTGCACTGTCATAGGAATGTAACACCCCTACTCCCCTACCCTCAACCCCCACTACCCCCGGTGCTTTTCTCCAGAATTGTAAAAAAACAACAGTGTATGCAACATGATCTAGAGCTCTGGGTTCCAGCGTTTTTTGTAGACCTGGACCTGGACCTTGACCCGGACACAGACCTGGACTGCGACTCGGACCCGGAAACGGGCCTGGACCTGGACCTTCACTGTGATGTGGATGCGATGGTATGTCAGCGTCACCAGGAGTGTTTCCAGGACGTCTCCTGTGGAAAGGGTTCAATTTGACGTGATGAGTTTGGACACTGGACTCTTCAGCGACCAGGACAGACATGTTTGTGCGATGAACTTCTATCTACTATCGTTATCATGAATAATAACAATAATGGTATTTTTGAGCGGTGGTTGTATCAGGTACTGACTCTGTCGTGCCTGCTTCACTGTAAAGGATCGTTCTACTGCGGGAACACAGACGGTTCTCACTAAAGTCGTATACGAATTACGTAAAAAATAAAATAAAATCAGGATGCATTACAGGAGTTCCTGATCCAGGTGGCGACCTTTGTCAGTACGTCTGTAGATTTTTAATACCAAAAAGTAAAAAAAAAAAAACTCCCATGAATCCTTACGTGAGAAAACGTTCTTACGACTTCATTAACGTCATCGAATGTTCGCGCGTAAACGATTCGGCGTTGTCACCCACAGCTGCTCTTATCACAATAACGACAGTACTAGTTGAATTCCTATTTAAGGTATTTTCAGGACAATAAGTCGCTCACTAGTGCCCCCTAGTGGTTGTCAGTGTGAAAATAACAATATATTTTGAATATATAAGTCACAAACCTAGCCAAAGGATAAAAAAAACATGACTTTTCAGTTATAGCACTGCACTTCCCTGCCTCCAGGTGGTGCCACACCATGCCACGCGCAATGCTACCAGCCAATCAAATCAAACATGTGGCCTCAGTCCGGGTTTCTGTTTAAAATTTAAAAGTCGATTTAGCAACTTTATGGTTGCTGTTCTACGAACAGTTCCGGAACCGTACAGTGGACTATGACTACAGCTGGTACATCAACTGGTGTGGGGTGCCACTCTCACCCACCTCACCCTCGACTCCCACCTCTATTTTTCCTAGAGGGAGCCCAAGTGCCCCCGGTGGTACGTGTAGCTTAGTTTGAGAACCACTGTCCGTCTCCAGGGTGACTGCATAATGTGAGGTTTCCAAGAATCGGACTTGAACCCCGTTACTTGAATTTACAATCAATACTGTGGTTTAGTTGTTCTGGAAAATTCAATTTTTTATTTTTTTTGTGCACATATATTAATTGCATTCAATCAGATCTGAGGTCATTTTTAAAAGCGATTTCAATATGTTATTTTTTACGCCTTGAAACGATGTTACGTTTGTGTCGACGTATCTGTCGGGAAGTAAAAACAAACAAAACAAACCATCGTTTACATAATTCGTCAAATGTCCAATCATTTCACTTCTCTTCATTAAAGAGAGAAAAAAAAACCCAACTGTCACCGAATGTATTATTTATATATATATACAAATAAAATTTTATTAGTTTGTGAGAAGTGTGTCAACTTTCTTGTTTCGTTTTCGTGGCCTTTTGCAATTTCATCATTTAAAAAAAATTGTTTTTTTTTACTAAATTTTTTTTAATTTACATAAATATACACTCAAATATACATGCAAACAAAATAAATATACATTCAAACATATAAATAAACATACACTCAAACATACAAATAAATATACACTCAAATATAATGACATTGGTCATTTTTTTAAAAAAAAAAGTTTTTTTAACAATTTACACATTTTACAATTTGTTATAAAAAATTACCCGTTTGATCGTTAACCGTTGCGTTCGTTTTTGTGAAAATATCAGTTTATTACACGTTAAGATGATACAAAAAATGTCCAGGGAAATATTCAAATAATTTACTCACGAAAAAACTTAAAGATTTATTTCTGTCTCTTTTACAGCAAAAAGAGGTTAAAAAATATTGTATTATCGTTTTAATGATTTTGTGTACCCTCAGGATCCAGCAGGGGGCGTCGAAGATCCGTCTGTTGCAGTTGCATCTTCCGGCGCATGTACAGTACGTGCATAAAATATTTACCTCGCTTCGGTCACATGAGGGCGATGTTGATTTCTTGGAAAGAGATATCGAGTCCCAGTGAGAAGAAGAGACGTCCGCGGCTGATAATTACGTTAATAATCAGCGATCTTATCCGCTGTTTATCGGTGTCACGACAACAACGCGATAACAACGACGTTGTATCGACATCACCTCCATGTTGTTGTATCAGCGGTTTATCGGCGTCTATTAAACGTTTATCACCAATATCTGTGTGAGTGCGCATGCGCGTGAACTGATTAATCTACCCGATTTACTTAAGTTGACGTGACAGTCCAACACCGGGTCACGGATCGTTGATAACGGACCACGCGCACAGAGAGAGAGAAAGAGAGGGAGAATACAGAAAACGTTAACATATCCGGTATTTTATTTTGAAAAATCCTCATCAACTCGCCGTATTTTTTTTTCCTTGTGAAATAGTTTGCCGTGCGTCGTAAAGCAGACCAAAAAAACTGAGACCGATTTTTTTTTTTTAACCATGTCGAGAAGCCGTGACGAACCGCTGCAGCAGCTCGAATTAGTCGGTCAAAGTTGCCGTCGGTTTTATGGGTCGGTCATAAAGCAGCGTATAAAAAGCCGCAGGTGAAGGGGGGAGGCAGAGTCAGAGGGGAAGCGACTGTTCCAGGGGTGAGTTCTGCTCCCGTTGCCTGTCTACGCCGTCGTCCAATCAGCGTCTCTGGTCACCAAAAAAAAAAACAAAAAAACAAGTTTAATCAATTAACAATATTGAAATATCCAACCGTAACAACCGGGGGTTCCCGCCTTTGCCGCTGCAATCGCTGCTGTTTGTGTCGTGTTGCCATGTTGTCATTCAGTGTTTCTTCCTGCAGATGAAGCTGTTTCTGCTGCTGCTGCTGCCGGCCGTGCTGGCTCTGTCCTCGGCCAGTCTTCAGGACATCGTGAAGAAGAGTTCACAGCGCAGGAAAGGTAAACGATGACGTCACACCCGAACAGTTGACCGTCGACCGTTTTTTTAAAAATATTCGATAATAAAACGGCGGTTTCCTGCAGTTTCTCTCCTGAACCCCGCCCTGGAGGACCTGGAGCCTCAGCCCAATGTTGACAACGTGGTGTCCCCCCTGGCCCCCGCTGACCTGGAGCAGCAACAGGAAGTGCCCTCCTCCATGTTCGGCGATAACGTGAACCTGGAGTGGCTGACGTGGGAAGGCGCCTTGCCAAACGGCGCCGTCTCCATCTACAACGGCTACACCGAGCGCACCGACTACGTCTGCAAGTACAAGTGCGAGACCGGCTTCTACAACCCCAGCTTGGGACCCTACTGCCGCTACCCCTATGGAGACCGGGAGTACTACGCCCCTGAGTTTGAGATACTGGCCAACAAGGACAACTTCGAGTTCCTGGAGTGGAAGGAAGGTTCCTATGGATCGGTGCCGAAACATTCCGTCCAGGCATCTACGTGGGCAAGAACAAGTACGGTCTGGGCAAAGTGGTCCCGCAGTTCGAGGCCTTCTTCCTGCCGTGGGAGGGCGACGAGTACTGGTACAAGAAATACCAGGTGCTGACCATCAACAGAGACGCCTACACGCAGCACATCAGCGACGTCAAGTACAACATCGACGAGGTCGCCATCTTCCAGTTCCCCCCCGAGACCATGCAGATCTCCGGGGTCACCAACAACGAGTGCCAGACCGTGTCGAAGACCGTCACCATCTCGAAGGTCACTGAGGTGGAGACCACGTGGAACATCGGCCGCGGAACCATGCTGGGCATCACGGGCAGCATCACGGCTAAAATCCCCCTCCTCGGCTCCGGGGGTATCGAGCTGAGCGGCGAAAAGACCCTGCAGTTCACCAGAGGAACGACCAGGGTGGAGTCCCTCAGCCATTCCGTGTCCGTGGAGCTCACCGTGCCCCCCAACCACAGCTGCAAAGTCCGCATGGAGGGGCGCAAGATGAAGGCCGACATCCCCTACACCGCCCGCCTGAGCCGCACCTACCGCAACGGAGACACCCAGTGGACGTCCATCTCCGGGACGTACGACGGAGTCCAGATTAACGAGGTGCGGGCGGTGGTGGACCGCTGCGAGCCTGTGGCCGACGCCAAGCCGTGTCCGTGAGAGACCATCGGACGAAACGACAACTGGTGTTTGTGAAAGAAATCTCGTAAAATGTTCTCGCAATAAAACTGAGACGTGAATAAAATCTGTTGTTGCCTGTTTTCACCAACTCCTAAAATACGACCAGAATACGACCACTAGAACAGAGAACTACGTATTCCAATCTATGCTATGCTAAGCTAGCTATCATTGTTTCAAACAGCTGGAAATAAAATGTATTTCACTCCATGGTCAGATACATGAACGAGGACGCAAACATACAAATAAATATACACTCAAACATACAAACAAATATACACTGAAATGTATATGCAAACATACAAATAAATATATACTCAAACATACAAAGAAATATATATGCAAACATACAAATAAATATATACTCAAACATAAAAATAAATATACTTGCAAACATACAAATAAATATACACGCAAACATATAAATAAATATACACTCACACACAAGCAAATATACACTCAAATATACATGCGAACATACTAATAAATATATACTCAAACATAAAAATAAATATACTTGCAAACATACAAATAACACGCAAACATATAAATAAATATACACTCAAACATACAAATAAATATATTTGCAAACATACATATATTTGTTCTAAATATATTGTGTTATATGTGAGTAAAGTTGCTGCGTTTGGTCGACTATCGGAGACACGGTTCATCACATCAGTCTTTACTCCGACTCTATAGACAGAGATAGTGCAGTTTTGCCAGTGACCTCTGACCTTGGCCTCAATCAGCGGGAAATAAACGAACTGATAATAAGGTTACGTCTCAAGGACACACGCGATGCCCGGGGATGCAGCAGACTCAGCGATTGTTTCGACGATACAGCGTCGTCTCTCGGGTTTGATCTTGGCAGCCGGCGACGTTGCGCAACGTCTTAATCAATGAGTCGCTGTTGCGGCGGACGCTAATCAACGCTTATCAGAGCGCCTTCTGTCTCTTCATCGATGAGGAAAGAGCCGCAGCACTTTGGACGGACCGGCAGATACGGGACGTTCACCTGGTACTTTACACCAGCTCAGCAGAGGAAGAGCCAGGGGGCGGAGCCAGGGAAGAACCTTGAGGTTATCACTATCACCGTGTATGCCGTTCTGATAGGCAAGCACGTCCTTATTGAGGACAAGGACGTTCCGATGTCAGAATGACACGTCGACCTTCAACTGGGACCGAATATTGACGAAGAACTGAAGGACAGTCGCTGGAGGTTCTTTCCGGCGTGGTTGCACGACTGTCGCATTTCACGTCGATGTCAGGTGACGCCCCCTGCTGGTCAGTGAGATGTGTATTGTATCACAATAGTCAATATTTCCCATTAAAGCCTAGTGAAGCGGTGGGAGAGCGGGCAGAACTCTTGCCGTACAGCACGAAAGGTCACCGTTCTAATCCCTGGTGCTAACTGAGGGTCTTTTTTCCTACCGTCTCCATGGTTACGCCCCCGGTCGTTGATGGGTATTCAGACTAAACTAACCATAGGTGTGAATGTGAGTGTGAATTTTTTGTTGGTCTCCAAATGTCCCCAGGGGGTGTTACCCTGCTCCCAGAACTCTGCGGGATTGGTTCTAGCGCCCCCTGTGGTCTTACAGGGGATAACATAGTACTATATTTATTAATATTAATTAAATATAATTAAAATGTATTCAATATCTTCTTGACCTTAATTATTCCAAATCTCTCAATATATATTGCGATTAATCGTGATTGGTCGTGACTAATCGCAATCATACTCCTGCAACACAAACCCAAATAACGTGATGTGATGTATGTGTTTTCGCACCTGTTTATATTTCTGACGAATCCATATCTAATATAGCCAAAATAATTACGTGAAAAATATATCAAACTCCAAACTGATAGTGCCCGCGCAGTGGCTCGTCCTCGAACACCACAGGCTGCTCACGGTGCTGTTTTATTGAAGGGGTGTTATCACTGTGTGTGCAGGTTTAAAACCCTGCTCAGGCTTAAGGCGAGTCACTGCCGCGGGAAAACCTGTCGAGGTAACAACTGTTTTTTATACAAATATCTGGAGAGGCTTTTATTTTGAAAGAACCTTTTCGTCGTTTCTTCATTAATTCGCTTTAATTAATTAATTTTTATCGCGTAAACAGAACGGTCCTGTCTGTAGAATTATTCATTAACTTAATATTTTCTAGTTTAGTCGATCTGGATCTGGACGGTTAATCGAGGAAAAAAAAATCCTCATATTTACGTAAGTATTATGGCTCTAAACCACTAAATTTTTTTTTTTTTTGCGTTTTTCTATGTGTCCAGATGAGGGCGTCTGTGGCTGTTGTCCTGACCGTGCTGCAGCTCTGCGGTCCGGCGGTGCTGTCCAACCCGCTGCTCTTCGTCTCCGAGGTGCAGGGCGGACAGGAGGAGCCCAGCAGTAAGTGACGTCATCGTCATCACCACCATCACCTGCTGTTACAACAGTCTGAGCGTTCCACATTAAGAACTGGAACCAGGAAGTAGAGACAGTTCTAGTCAGTAAATCTGTTTTTGTTTTTCCAAACAATGATTAAAACCAGTGATGTCCGACAATATCGGACCGATATTAGCATAATTGTGTAATGAAATGAAAAACCCAATAACGCATGTGACGTGTGCCCTAAAAATAGTTTTGGGGGAGATACGGACGGATGTGCAGTGTATGTAAAAAGTCGCTAGATGGCAGTATTGTAGCACTTTTTATTACCTCAATTAACTCAATACAGTTTAATAGTATTTAAATTACGGGTGTGGGGGGACAGGGGGCGCACCACTGTCCCGGACATTCCTAATTATAATAATTGCAATTTTTTTTCTCCCTTGTTTTACTTGTGCAGAGCTGTGGCTGAACTCCACGCTGGAAGAAGTCGTCCCTTCTCTGGAACACGTCGGCCCCCCTACCATCAGAGATCCCCCCGAAGCTGGGGAGCGGTCGGACTCCTTCCCCATGTTTGGTGAACACGTCAACCTCAAGTGGGTCACATGGAATGGCTCTCTCCCCAACGGCGCGGTGGCGATCTTTAACGGCTACACCGAACGTACCGACTACGTGTGCAAAGTCAACTGCGAGGCCGGCTTCTACACCGCCAGCAAGGGCGCTCGGTGCCAGTACCCGTACGCCGACAAGGAATACGCCTCCTCAAAGTTTGAAGTGCTGGTCAACGTGGACCACTTTGAGTTCCTGGAGTGGGTTGAAGACTCCTACGGATCCGCTCCTCAGTACTCAGTGAAAACCTGCCTGGACCGGGACATCTACGTGGGGAAAAACAAGTACGGCCTTGGAAAAGTGGTGACTCAGCACGAAGCCTTTTTCCTGCCCTGGGAAGGCGACGAGTACTGGTATAAGAGTTACCAGGTCCTGGCCATCAACAGGGACAGCTACAGTCAACACATCTCTCACGTGGAGTACGGCATTGACCAGATGGAGCTGTTCCAGCAACCCCCCGAGGCTCTGAAGATCACCAAGGTCACCAACCTGGAGTGCAGGGACGTGGCCAAAACAGTGACGCTGAAGAAGACCAGCACCGTGGAGAAGTTCTGGGACATCGGCAGAGAGACCCGTAACGGTTCCATCTCGACCATGAAGGCCAAGGTGCCCATCATCAGTCCAGCAACGGTGGACCTCACCAAGGAGCAGACGGTGACCTTCTCCGAGGGCACGACCACCGTGGAGTCCATCAGCCACTCCGTCGCCGTGGAGCTCCAGGTCCCGCCCAACCACTCCTGCGCCGTGAGGATGGACGGACGGAAGATGACGGCCGACATCCCCTTCACCGGCAGACTGAGCAGGACCAACCACAGAGGAGAAACCCACTGGACCTACATCACCGGCACCTACAACGACCTGAGCGTGGGCGAGGTCAACGCGGTGGTGGAGCGGTGTCAGCCCGTGCCGGATGCCGTTCCCTGCAAATGATCACAGGACTCGACGACTCCAGTTGTTGAGTTTGAGTTTGACCGAACCGGCAACAGCTCGTCATGTTCATCAAATAACAAAATAAAACAAACAAAAGTCTAAAAAGTCTTGAATCTTTTTCTAAAATATTTATTTAAATCGTTAAATCGTAGAAAAAAAAAGATCAACTTTATTTAGGAACTTTTATTTATTTTGTCCCTGCGTTAGTCTCAATTTTTATTTTTATTTTTCAAAATTAGGTACTACGAGATTGCGCCGCTAGATGTCGGTGTAGCCCAGAGAGTAGAGAAAACCCGGAGGCTGCGGTTGTCTCTATTTGAACTCGTTGGCGTCTGTGACAGAACGGCACGAGCAAGGACAAGCTAATAGTTGAATTAGTGGAGATTATTTTCTTAAAACACACACAAAAAAAAAAAACACAAAACACGGGTGTCGTTGTTAAAAAAACGTTAGCTAGTGGCCACGTCTTTCGCTAACTTCCGTGCTTATTTAAGTGGTTGTCAGGTGGTTGAGTGATTTCATACGGGGCACAGTTTTGGATGCTAACGTTGAAGCTAACGAGCTTAGGGGAGTTCGCGTCGATATTGGGGGAAAAGTAGCTCTTGTCAAAATGCGAAACCTTATCATATTAATTATTCGTCTTCGGTAGTAATATACCTAGTGTCGATATTTAAGTAAGTCGTTTACTTAGTACAGTTACGTCACTATTTCAGTGGGTTAGCATTGTCTTATGAAACCTAAGGCGCTTTATCAACCGCTGCTTTCCTTATTTCGCTGTCTGAAAAAGTTGCTCGACGTGGCCGCCATGCGACGACTTTTGAACAGGGTTATCAACAGAGTTTTGTTGAGCAATTTGTTCAAGCCGACAATGGAGATAGGAGCGGAAATCCACGCACACAACCGCCGAAAACTGGTAAGAAAACGTTCGGTTTATTTTGTTTTTTGACTGACAGCCACGAATACGAATTATGTGATAAAAGGGACATGGGGGCCGGGACGAGACACCGGATGTGTATATTTATGCTCCCTTATGTCCCTTAAGGGGCTCCGTACTCATCTAATACATACAAGAATGACAGGTTTTATGAAAGTACAATACAAAATAACAATACCGTAATAACGGTAATAAATAGCGTTGTTGTGATTTTTTTAACGTGCTTGTTTTGCTGTGTTTTTTTTGTGAATTTTATTATTATTTTTTATTTTAAATATACAAAAAAAAGATTTTTTTTCTCCTATGATTCGGCTTTATCAGATAAAATAATGTGAAATAGTCGCCTCGTCTTATAACCGTTGACATGTGCTGATAGTTGTCTGGTGGTCGCTGCACGACCGCAACAGCAGAGGGCGCTATGGGCAAAGGTTCTGACATTTTCCATCCTAGTTTGTGTTGCTGAAATGTTTTTTGTTTTTGTTTTTTTCTTGAAACTGCTTGACAACTTGATCTCATTGTTATGGTTAATGACCAACTAGTGGTAAAATTCCAAATTGCTAATTCCGATATTCCACTATAATTTTTTTTTAGAATTTAAAAAAAAAAAAAAAAAATTCAACAGATTTTGTTGTTGTTGTTGTTTATTCTGGTCATTACGGTAACCGGAAATGCCTCTCTGATTCCTTTATGGTCATATCGTTCTCTGCTCTGCTTTTTACTTTAAAAAATGTTAAACTATTTAAATGCTTTTACTTTGAAAATGTGTGATAAGAAGTAGCTACGGTGTAGTTTTTATTTTTACGTATGGGTAATGAGAAGCACTTTTGCAGTACTTTCACAGGTGGGTTGATACCTGAGGCCTGATGTCTGACATCTAACGCATTAATTCATTACTTAATCGCAGACTGATGAACGGCACCTGGTCAGCTGAGTACACATCAGAGTACACATACGTGTGTACTTTGCTGTGACATTACTTCAGTGCGTATCTTCTACTGTAACCCTGCTACACTGACCTCCGTGTACTCAAAAGCTCAGTGTTCAAAGGGTCGGAGTACAATGTTGACAGTGTCCGACGGCGACGGCCGCCGACGCCACGTAGCCGTCCCCGTCGGTACAATGCCCTCCATAGACGCCGATGAATCGGTGCTAGGCAGCGAGGCTACTCGCTCTGGGCTGGTCCGCACTGATAAAGTCAACGCTTTTTATTCCGGAACACGATTGAATAAAAGTCATCTTCGTAAAAGTATCGCAAAAAAGTAACGCAGTAAAAAGTGTTTTGTTATCCCCTACTGTATGCGTATGCAGTACTATTCGTAGTATGTACTGTAGTAGACCTCTGCAATTTTTGTTCAGTTTATTCACGAGTCAAACTGGGATCATTTAAAGCGGTGGTTCTCAAACTGTGGTACGCTTGCCGCCGGTGGTACACTAGCGCTCTCTAGTGGTACGTGGGGGAAATTCATATTTATATATATGCTTTATTCTAATGTTGGTCATCATGGTGGTGCAGAGTATAAAAAAAAGTTTGAGAAGCACTGATTTAAAGCATTGTTGCCCAAAGATTAGGGTCGCGACCCTTAGGTGGGTCGCACGATTTTTTTGGGGGGTCGTCTCGCATAATGTGTCCCGGGAGTTCACGAATAATGTCTATTTACTTTGGTCGCCAAAGTTTGTGACTTTCAAAATATGGGTCCCCCCCTCCCCCAAAAAAAAGCGTACCACAGTTTGAGAACCACTGGGTTAAATGTTATTGAAATAGTGACACGTCATTTTAATGAGGTTCTCGTTCCACGTGTGCCCCAGGTGGTGGGACTGGGCAACCCTGGAATGGACGGTACCAGACACAACGTTGGCGCGGCGGTGCTGGGAGCTCTGGCTGCGCGGCTCAGCGCAGCTGACCGCTGGCGCGGCAATAGACACGTGTCGGGTGAGGTCATAACTTTAGACGTCCAGGACACTGGGGTGGTGCTGCTGCGACCTCGTCTGATGATGAACATCAATGGAGTGTCTGTGGCTAAAGCAGGTGATGTCACTGTCAGGAACGCACAAAAAAATATATGATTATATATGTTTATATATTCTCATTGTATTATATATATATATTTCCAATGCATGTTATTTATACACACTGTGGGGAAAATATTTTAGTTTCACTGAATTATCTCGTGTGTAAAATCAACATCTTATTCTTCCTCTTCTTCTTCCTCTCCTCCTTCTCCTTCTTCTTCGTCTTCCTCTCCTACTCCTCCTCCTCCTCCTTCTCCTCCTTCTTCTTCTTCTTCTTCTTCTTCTTCTCCTCTTCCTCCTCCTCCTCCTCCTCCTTCTCCTACTTCTTCTTCTTCTTCTTCTTCTCCTTCTTCTCCTGCAGCTGAAAAATATGGCGTCCGGGCTGAAGACGTCCTCCTTGTTCACGATGACCTGGACAAACCTTTGGGCAAGATGGTCATCAAACATGGAGGGAGTGCCAGGTTGATTTTCCTTCATTACGTCTGTGGTTCTGTTGTGTTCTACACCAGCGGCCCCAAACCTCCGGGTCATGGACCGCTGCTGGTCCGTGACCCGGAGGTTTGGGGACCACTGTTCTACGCTACTGTACTGTGAATGAAGAAAGTATAATTGTGGAAAATGTTAAAAAAAAAAACATATACAATGACCTCTGACCTTTTCCTTGCAGAGGTCATAATGGCGTCCGCTCCTGTGTTGACTGTCTCCACACTGATGTAAGTTTAAAAAAAATTTTTTTTTTACCAATATTCATAGTCCGGGGTGGGCCACATGGTGGAGGAGGGGTTGATGCATATATGTGTATGTATATGTGTGTATGTGTATACACACATATATACATAAATGTGTACATATGTGTGTGTGTGTATGTATGTATATATATATATATGTATATATATACACATTCAGTATGTACATATATGCATATATATGTATATATATATATATGCATATACTGTATGTACATGTATGCATATATATGTATACATATATACACATATATGTACATATATGTATACAAATATACACATATATGCATATGTGTGTATATACAGTATATATATACACATATGTACATATATGTATAAATATACACATATACACATGTATGTATATATATATTTAAATATATTGTATTACTTGTATATGTTTTCTATATTTTGAGTCCACTGAATAAACGTACATGAACCTTTGCAGTCCCTCAGGTTGAACACACTTCTTCTGTTTCCGGTGCAGGTGATGCCAAGGCTGCGCGTCGGCATCGGTCGGCCGACGGGGAAAACGACGGTGGACCGTCACGTTCTAGGACGCTTCTCGTCGGAGGAGCGGAAGATCCTGGACTCTGTCCTGGTCCAGAGTGTGGACCTCATCCTGTCCCTGCTCTCCCCTCTGGAATCCCCAAAGAATTCCCAGCCTGGTCAATCCTCCTTCCCACCAGCAGGGGGCAAACGTGCAGCACAGAGCAGTCATAAAGACAAGCCTTTGGACTGTGTTACTGCTGCTCAGAGCTGACCTTTGACCCACCCAGGACAAACGGACCCCAGCTCTGTCCGGTCTTTAAATTATTTAAGAAATTTTAAAGAAGAAAAAAAGTTGAATCTCAAAAATAAAATCCTGACTTTCTTAGCAACTTTTTTTTTGTCATTTTAATCGGTATTTACAAATGCATTTATTCTACCGATCCTCAATATTTAAATTTTAGAGCGTTATATCTCAGGATGTAACAATACACTCAACTAACGATACGATACCTGATTTTTTTTTTTTCACACGATACAATTTTATCAAACAAAAAAGTTCTTCCCATGTTCTGTTTCCACACCTGAACGTCTGGGTTTAATAGTGGGTCACAACCAACGTTTTTAGGCGTATACCGCCACCTACTGTTCTATAGTGTGTAGTGTCGCGGTATGACCAGCGACTTTTTTGAGATAACGCCATCTACTCCTCACACCTTGTTCCGCGATTAATTTTTTATTTCAACTGATCAGAATTGTCACGCATTTGTATCGATTACTAACCGATTTACGTCCGTAGTTATATCTAAAAAAACTTCCGCAGTTGGACCTTGATTAGCTCAATTTCTTGAAGATGTTTTTTTAACGTCACGATTCCCGGAATTCTATAACGCAACGTTCGTATTTACCTCTTGTTTCAAGTACCGCCGGGGATACCTTGAACCGTACTTTGAGAACCACCACCTTGTATATATATTTTTTTTCTCCTTTTTTCCCCTTTAACTCTGCTGTCGCTGCCACTAGCCAATCAGCGACCTTGTTGCTGTTCCCCCTATCGGTTTCTCCTCATTATTGTCCCGCTAATTAGACTTTTGGTCAATTAGTCTGCTCAGATCTTTTTTCACTGAGTCAAGTGGTGCCAAGGGGTAGTAGGGAGGATCCGGGGGTGTGGATGTGGAGGGGGCCGACGAAAGAGGCTGAAACAGGCCTAAATGAAAAGTGTTGGTACAAAAGAAGCGAGTAGATGGCGATGGAGCGCAGAGGAGAAAGAAAAGCCGGCGAGAAACAAAAGGAGGCAAACTTTGTTTCGACGGGTTTGTTTGGAGCCTTCTGTCCTGCCAGAGGACACAAAGACCGTGGGTACACACTTGTGAACACAGGGAGGTGGGGGCGGTGGGGGGGGTTGACCACCCACCCCTCACCCACCCTCCCACTTTCTTTGCGCTGACCCCGAGGAGTCACTGTCCGCCTCCGTCAGCCCCACTTTCCCAGCACCTTCGTCGCTGGTCGACCTAAAGCAGCGGCTTCAATAACTTTTCTTCTGCTGAGGTCAAAGGTCAGCTCTTCAGGCTGGACAACCAGGACCCTGGATTTATTAAAGACTGATTGAATCGCCCACCACCTCCACCACCCGTGGGAGCTGCTCCCAGTAACGGTGTCCCGGTGTGGGGCTGACGCCACAGAAACGTTAGCCCGACTTCACACGCTGTAGTGACCAGTGAATTTTCTGATGTCATAATGTGCGAGTTTGGAGTCAAAAAGTTCTAAGACGAGGAACAAAGCAACTGGATTTTAGTCTGTAGTCGACCTCAAGTGAGCTGCGACTGCAGCTACTGGCTAAAATAAAATTTAAAAAAAAAAAGTTTTTTGTTTAATATAAATACTGTTAAATAAGAGTGTAAAAAAAAGTAAATCTGGATTTTTATTTTTTTTCTCATTTTTAAATGACTATTTTGGTTGAATTAGCAAAGTTAAAAAAAAAAAATTCAAGGACATTTTGTTTGTATTTGGTGTGTGGGCTGGAAGTGGTCCACAGGCCAGGAGTTTGGGACCGCTGCCTGGAACTTTTTTTTTTCCAGACCTCACAATCAATTAGATAAAAAATAAAAAATATAATATTTCAGTCCAACTCAAAGATTATTAATGTTTTCCTGAATTTTATTTAAAAAAACATTTCTTCTTCTTCTTCTAACTTGTCATTTTCCAACTGTTATTTTCTAAAATTCTTCTTCCATGGATTTCACTGGAGATGGAACTCGGAAAAAAAGCAACAAATCGAGTCGAAATTTGTTCAGTGTTGCACCGATCTGAACATGACAACATATGGTCACGTCATTTTTGCGCCACCTATGCTTTTTTTTTCTTTACCATTAAAACGTAATTTCGTTTTTTTTTTAATTTTCAAAAAATTGTTTTATCACAACTGACGAAGTATTTAAAAAAAAACTACGACACCGTATTTAATATATTTCAGTTAAGATAATTACGTTTGAGAAAATGAAAATATTGGAAATTAAAACATTTTTAATGTTTAAAGATTGGATTAAAAATCCGCAATTTACTGAGGGAGCGAAAGTAGAACCGCGATATAGCAACGTAAAACTTTTCACGTTATAATGTCAAAACTTATCACGAAATAACGTAAAACCGTATCACGTAATAACGTAAAACCTATCACGTTATAACGTCCAAACTTATCACGAAATAACGTAAAACCGTATCACGTAATTACGTAAAACTTATCACGTGATAACGTCCAAACGTATCATGTAATAACGTAAAACGTATCACGTAATAACGTAAAACTTATCACGAAATAACGTCAAACTTACCACGAAATAACGTAAAACTTATCTTATCACGAAATATCGTAAAATGTATCACGCAAATTTTTGTTTTTCTCAGTGTGACATTTTTTTTAACCAAATTCACCATCACTACATCGATGTTTCGACGAAGTTCTTCTGACTTCTCGATCTCGGTACAATTATAAAAAAAAAAACGAAAAACGAAAGAAAAAAATCTGGAGGAAATGAGATCATTGTGTCTTTAAGAGGTTTGTTCACTTGCAGCTGCTCTCTCTCTTTCTCTCTGTGTGTCTCTCTCCCCCTCTCTCTCTCTCCCTACTCCTCCCCTCTGGGCACAATGGCCATTTATCATCACTCCTGCTGCGCGCGTGAGTGCGCGCGCCAGGACCGGCATCTCCTCCCTCTCTCTCCTCCCTGCCTCCCTGCCTCCCTGCCTCTCTCTCCCTCCCTACCTCCCTCCCTGCCTCTCTCTCTCCCTCCCTCTCTCAGTGACACATTCTCCGACTCGCATTCCTGGAGGAGCCCCAGAAAAAGGCCTCCTGCTCGGGCCACAGGGAGAGAAGGAGCGGGAGCGAGACGGAGGAAACGGCGGCGTTGATGACGATGATGATGATGCTGATGATGCTCCTCGCATCCCCGAACATCCGGGGTGTGTATAGGAGGTGTGAGGAGATGGGGGACACACATGGCTGCGACCGCCTGACCGTCCTCCTCTTCCTCCTCTTCCTCCTCCTCCATCTGCCTCCTCCTCCTTCTCCTCCTCCTTCTCCTCCTCCTCCTCTTTTCCCTCCTGCCTCTGAACGAGTGTTGCGTTCACTGGTCTCTGCACTGGAACTACACGCACAGGAGCAGGTGATGCGCGATGATCCCCGAGACCTCCGGCGACATTTGCCTCGTTGTTTCCCGCAGGTTTGTGCCCGGAGGAGGTGAAGCGGTGCTGGGGTTGTGTGTGTGTTAGTGTGTAGTAGGGGAGCGTCCGGGTTCTG